CCCCCACCCCACGCGCCCCCTGATTGGGCAGGCGTGACAAAACGCAGCTCGGAATGATGAAGCAATTCAAGCCACTGATGTGACCTGCTTATATCCGACTGTGACGTGGACAAATGGCTGTCCAGTTATCGTGATCAGAATGGAAGGACTGGACTGTTTCTTTCCCAGAGGGAATTCCAACCAATGAAGTTGACATTTCCCTAAAAAAGCGACCACAAAAACTTCACAAGGGCGTGTGTGACTGTGTGTGCTTTGGTTGTTAAACAGGTGAAGGGAGGTCAGCCTGTGCTTTGCTCCTGCAGGTATAGCAGAGTTAAAATAAGACCTTTGCATTTGTTCGATCGTTTAAACCAGCGAGGTCAAAACATCGAGTTAGGGTTATATTTTGGCAAGTCTTTGAGCAAAAAAAAGTTTGGAAATCACTGAGCACTCTAACTCTATGTGTTTCAATGGTAAGAATAAAAGTTACGCTTTTTGACAGTAATGTGAAGAACCCTGCAGTGTTTACCTAATGCTTGTGTTGGGTCAAGGTGACATGAGATTCGTACTGTCTGGTTCAAGTCGCTCAAAACTGTACATTCCACATTCACTCTCAAAACCTGGTACGTCTAGCACCCTACTGAGGTATTCTTCACCGGCCGTCATGGTGAGAGCTTGCTGTGTGGTTGTACCCAAGCTTGTTCCTCCCTGCGTGCCGTTTGACAAGAGGAAGTGAGAAATATTGGACGTCGAGCTTGAGGCTGTGGGGGGAATGTAGACGAAGGGTGCTATCTCTGTTCAAAACGAGCAGGGTCGATCAAGAGGACGTAACTGAAGCTCACCTTGTGGTCAACTGGCCCTCTTGTCTTTTCTCTGTCACCAATTATGAGTGCATCTCTGATCTGTGTGTTTTCGGATGACTCGTGCAGAACAGAGATGTTGGGCAAGCCTCCGCTTCCTCTGTTGTTGCAGGAACGACTTAAACAAACAGTGAGGTAGTGGGTGCTTTCCTGTTCAAATGAGTCAGCCAGAACAAAGAAATCTTTACCAACAGAGAAACTCCTTATGCCTTCTGTAGGATTAGCAAATTGCAAGGTTGTCCCCTGACCTGTCAAGGCTCGGAGCATGTGTTAATGTATTGTTATCCTGTGAATACAAGTTGTTTTTATCCTAAGGTGGTATGCAAATGAAGCATAATTGCGAAACACCTTGTCTGTCAGGAAAGAATTTGTCTGACTTTTTTGCCCTGTCGAGTTTTCTACAGATACTGGGTGAAAAATAATGAGCCAACGCCGGGTGTGAGTCATTGCGGCACCTTGTTGAGGAGCAATTAATGCCATGTAGAGACCACTAAAAGGCACTGCTAGTGGCACGAAAACAAACGATCTCCCTGAAATGTCTTTTCTCGTCTTGCTGTCAGTCCAGTTAAACAGGGCATGACGAGTCCAAGGGAGGGGTGTTTGTGTGTGTGTGTGTGTGTGTGTGTGGGAGGGGGTTCAGGTTTTGTTTGTGAGGGTGGGAGGACACATGTGGAGTGGGAGAGCCCAGTGTGTTTGTGTGGAGAAGGGTGGGGGAGGGAGGTCGTCTCGGGCGCGAGATTCACCCCGGTGCGACTTGCGCCTTTTAGACATTCCTGACATTCCGACCTCCGGGATGTTTGAGGCTCCTTCCGTCTTCTTCTAGCTTGTCGGGGACTCTTTGGAGGGCTTTTATGTTGCTGGGCTCGCTCCGGCGAGCCTTTTGGTTGAACAGAGACCACATGCCCTCTAATTTAGGAGACCATGAGAACATGTCGCACTGCACATATTTGGTTACATTCAAGGATGACCCTTAAGTCCTTATCTGTAGGTGGAAAACACTTGCCTCTCTGAAATTCTGTCTAAGGAGTTGCACTTAGTGCTTTTGGTTTAAATTTAAGAAATCTTGATAATAAAAGACTGAGACTGATAGATTGTTTGCACCCCATCTTATCCCTGATCCAGTCAATCACATGTCTACATTCCTTGGGTATTTAAAGTGTCCATCAAATTTTATGAGCCTCCAAAGAGTTGGAGCTAAACATTTTTAATTTGGAAATACAATCATTTAGAATTAATTACAGTTTTTTATGAGATACATCACATTTTATTTGTTTAAAAAGCATGCAGAGTTCAAAATGAGTAAAAAAAAAAGTTAAACTGATTTTGGTTTAATCTCGTTTTTCCACCTGCCATTATGACTTATTTTAGCTCTTATTTTACACATTTATGACAAAAGCACATTTAGGTCTGTAAAAAGCTAGAAAACATATAACATATTATAATGACAGTAAAATAAAAGAAAAAGTAAACCAGACACAGATAAAGGTTGCACAGTATATCAAAAATTTATCGTAATCACAGTAACAGCCTGTGCAATATGCATATCACCAAAACAGGCATAAACTGCAATAAAAGGTTGCCTCAAATGTTTGCATTTTGTCAATAACATGAAAGCTTGAAGTATTTGACCAACCAAATGGAGCTTTTCACGTTTTGCCAATTGGATTGATATTTTTAGATATCTGGTTAGATAATTTATTTTAAAAAACTGATAGTAAGAGGCACTTTTCAGTTTTTAAAGAATCAAAAAAAAAATTATGGGAACACTGTTAAAGTCATTAGGAAACTGTATTGAATACAGTTTGTTGTTTCACTTCTACAGCAGCTGTGTCTGTTTGCATTTTTTAAATAAAACTGTCATATTGGAATAGAAAGGATGTATTATAATATTTTTTGCTCTGAACCCAGAGCAGAAAGACATCAACACTGCATACTTAAAGTATTCGTTCATTTATTGCAAGTAATATTATCATCACAATGTTAAGCACTGTTATTGTACATTGCAAGTTTTCTTAACCCTAACCCTAACACAGATGATGATGTGATGAACCTTTTGAAGGGGGCGTGTCCAATTTCATAATGTAATATTTTAACCACTACCTTTAATGACTTTGAATTTCAGGCCAAATGGACACTTGAATCATAGTAGTAAGGGTATATTTAACAAATTCTTACTGTCTTTTGTACCTATTTCCTCTCTCTTGTTCTTGTGAGCCAGCCATGAGCGCTCTCCGTCCATCCACCGGATACCTTCACTGCCACCTCTAACCGAACCACATCTTAGCAAACCGAAGATGTCAGCGTGCGGCGATTTTGCAGAACACGTGTGGAAACCAGGCTCTTGCAAGAACTGCTTCCACCCGCTCAGCGCGCACAAGTCCGTCGGCACCCCGGATGGCAGCGTGTCAGCCGCTTGTTTGAAGAGCAACGCGGGAGGCGATGAAGAAGCTGGCTTGACGACGTCACCTTCGCCGTACAGCAAGCCAACCATCGCTGTCAAGCCCACTATGATGAGCCTTGAAACCAGTGAGCCAAAAGACATAAACATGAACATAGAGCAGGTGAGTTTCTAACGTGTTCATTTTCTGTATTGAAGCTTGTGTCAGATTACGTTTTTTTAAATTAAAGCCTTGTTTTTATTTGCAGCAGGATAATGCAAAAAGCCCATCTGAACGGATGGGCTTGAAGAAGCTTCTAAACATGTCACCGCTTTACATTGACAATAATGGCTGCAACAAGGCCCGCAGAAATGCAGCACTTCAAAGTCCTGAAGGCAAGACTGACTACAACAACTGCCTGTCTTTGTCCCCCCTCTCCTTGTCCCCCAATATTATGCCTAAAGACTCCATGATCATCAGCAATATTTTGATCGGCCAAGAGGAAAGTAGAGGTTCTCAGAATTTAAAGAAAAATGCTAACGAGGACTCCTGCTGGCAGCGTAATAATATGTCTACTAATGGGAACAGAAGCGCTCATAAAGGAAGTGGTGTGACAAATTTTAAGGAGTCTCGTGAGGCAGCTGAAGAGCTTCCTTTGTCAGTGGATATTGTCCCATCAGATCACGCCACAATTCATTGCAATGGTTTAAGCTGTGGTCATGTCACACCATCCGGATCTTCTGTTTCACATATGTCAGCCTCAAGTGTGGATTTTACTAATCAATGTAGCCCGACGTCCCTGAACTCTGGTGCTGTCCTGTCCAAAGAGAGCAGCCTATCGGATTCCCTTTCTTCATATCGTAGCAGTACAGGTTCTCTTCCTGGGCCTGATGGGTCAGTAGGAAGACAGGGCCCCCAAAGCCCACAGACTAGTTTAGAGTCAACGTCCACCTCTCCCATTGTACGAGAAAATTCGGAGCCAATATATGCTGAAAGCACCAAGAAAAAGTCTAAGCCAGGAAATGGACTACAAAGCCAACCGGAGTCCCCAAATCAGCCCAAGCAGTCTCAGTGCTCTGAGTCCGAACAATCCGGAGAGAGTCAGCGGGCCACCATCACTGTAATGGCTGCTCACACAGAGGAAAACAACAGAACTTTCTACCTGAGCAGCCCAGATTCTGGTGTCAGCACCCAGTGCAACTTCAGCCCCCCAGCGTGCAAAAATCCCAGTAGCCCGGCGTTTCGTTGGCCCAGCCCAAGCCGCAGCGCACCATGTCTAAGCCGAGAAGCCTCACTGCCGTCCAGTGTCTACCCCAAGCCCCAGTCTAGTCCGCCTATTCCTCCGAAGAGAAACTCTCGCTCTCTCAAACTGGGTACCTCCAGCCTCTCGCCATCTCTGTCGTCTCCGGTCCCTCTTCCAGAATTCCCCAAACTAGGTGCATCTAGCCTCCCAGCATCCATGTCGTCCCCTGTCCCGCTCCCCGAACTCCCCGTCTTTTTCCTCGTCTCATCGAGAGAGGGCCAATTCAGTGTTCCCTCCGACGACCAGAGTGCATCCTCTGACCGCTCCCACAAGCCCCACCACCACAGCTCCAACTGGAACTGTTGCATCGAGGAAGAAGAGGAGGAGGAAGAGAGAGAGCGGAAAGGGACAGAGAAGAGGAAGAACAAGCAGCTAGCTGCCAGCCCGGGTACAACCTCCATGGTGACAGGCCTGGTCAATGGTGCTGCTGTCTGGAAGGAGGCCAGTGACTGTAATGCCCACAGCAGCCCCACTCTGATGACACAGCCAGGCACAGCCCCCCCAGCTGGCCCCAACAATGGTTCCTGTCAGGGGGAAACTAAGGGCACCGGCACAGAGGAGGAGGGCAAGCATAACGAGAGCATGCCGGCCAAGCAAGCGTTACCCGGCTGCTCGTCAGAGCTGCTGGCCACAGGGAAAGAGGCTGCCAAAAATGACCCCAATCCTCCACCTCCCCCACCTAAGAAACTGCACAGGTAAGAACAAAAAACCCTTGTCTTTATCAGTTAACCCATCAAACCCAGCAGACTAACAAATCCTCTCAATGAGTAGATACTGAGAAATTCTCCAATTATTGAGAGTTTATCATGTTAACAGGGGGCATCAATTTTAAATGCACTTACAGAATTTTTATTTTTTATTTTTACATTTCTCAATCTCTTGGACTAGGAAGCAGTACAAACACTCTTAATGCATAACAACAGCAAAAATACACCAGAGATCCTAACAGAAGAGAGTCTAAATGATCTTTTACAGTCAGGCAGCAGCGTAAAATCAAGTGGCATGGATAGTTAAACACACCTTTGGGTTTTACTCTCCGGGCTGACTGTATAAAATAGTGCCCCTGTAATCTATGGTATGCTGACTGTGACTACATATTCATGCACTTTACTGCAGCCATCTCCCTGTGAGTCTTACAGTGCCTTCTCCTTTCATAGCATCATTATTCAGCCTTGAATCGGCCTCCATTCTAACGCCTTGTGATCATTCAAACCGTTGGGGGGGGGGGGGGTCTCAATGCAGGCCTTGTTCTGTTTGTGCTTTCACTGTGACTTCCTCAGTTTTAGTTAATGCACAGATAATCTACTGCTGTGTCATGTTGCTGTGAAGTGTTTTGTCTCCCGCACGATAGCAGTAATTATAAAAAAAAACTGTTCTTTTTGATGATATTAGAATTTTTAAATGAATCAATTCATTTTTAATGTGTTTCCTCGTCTCCGTGAGGAAGATATTTACCATAAGTGCACATTGTTGAAGTCCGCATTTTCATGCTAACCCTTATTTTCTTTTATTATGGGTGTTTAATTTAGCTTTAAACTGAGTCACCTTGAGGCTAGAAATACATCCAGCTGTCTGAGGTAGAAGCAGAAAACGAGAAGTGGGGCTGTGTTGCAGTTAGTGGAGCGTTAAACGACGCCTCCATTAAAATAAACGTTTTTTTCCTTGATGGGGACATTAAGGATGAGGCATGACTCACCTTTGCAACTTCCTTTTTGTTTAGACACACTCAACAAATCCTAATTTGGACCACCTCCCACTGTCAAAAATGCAGATTGCTGCTGGCTGCTGATTACTTGATCATGTCTTAAGGGCCCTTATGTTTGTGCTAATTCTAGGAGAGCAACGTCTCCTGTTATGACATAGCCAACATTCTGCTCTGATAAAAATACCTTGCTGAGACACATGTGGGAAACCCTGTTCAAGCCAGCTAGCAGCAGTTTTCCAAATTTCAGCCAGTTTAGTTTAATGTTCCTGGATTCTGATGCAGCACTTGAGACAAAAATACTGCAGGGCATTGAAATCTTCGCCTGCAAATCTATTACAACTTTCCTTTTTAATTGGAAATGATTCGAAATTGGACTCTTATTTGCTCATTGAATGGGAAGCAAATAAAAAAAATGTAGACACATGCTGTCCTGCGAGGCAGTATTTTGATCCTGTGCATCATTTAAAAGCCAGATGGTCTGAAAAATCTCCCTCGTGAAGCCTTTGATAAGACTTGCATTTGATTTTCTTTGCACTTTTTCCTACTGGGTGTAACAGGTCAACCACTGTGCCATGTCAGGTCACGCTAAGAGGGGGCGTGTCTGTGTTTGTACCTGTGAATTCGTCACGAATGAGTGGGCGCTGAAGCTCCCGTCTTAACAAGGAAGGCGTGTCAACTGGTCACTGGCCGCTGCCAAAAGGAGGGGCTTAGGAGAACAGATTGTTGCTCCTGGCAACTCCCAAACAGCCCCAGCCTGGCTATCAGTTGCCACCAATAGAAGTAGAATTTATAGATCAGCTATGTGGAATCAGGTCCAGTGAGTTTGACTTGGGTTTCAGTTGCTTTCCGCTCTGTAAACTTGTGTTCGGTGGCGCCCGCCCCTCCCACTGCCAAGCCACGGTTTCACAGATAGCATCTCATTGATGCCGGGCAGACAGAAAGGTTGCTCTAAAGTCAGCTGCTGGTTCAATGACTTAACAGCTAAATATGAGAGTTTTAGTCCACGCACCCTGATGGAGGCTGTTGCTTTTCTCGAGGAGACACTTTAAATATACTCGTGACTCGTGTGGAAGCAGGGTTGTGTTACTACACATGACAGGGCTTTAGAAAGCCACCGGTCTGATCCTGGGGCATTTTGTGTACCCACCGGCCTGAAAAGGACCTCTGCAGCATGAGGTAGGCACCTGACGGCTACTTTTTTTTTTACCAAGTGTGTCTTAGTTAGGCACGGATATTGCTGAGTACGTTCAAATACTAGCAGACGACAGATCGTGCTAAACCACTTTTTATTTAAGGTAAGAAGAGGTTTCTGCATTTTCACACCTTTTTTTCCCAGAAACTTAAACCGAGTTGTGGCTTTCTATGTGCCGAACTTATTTTCATTATTGTTCTTTCACAGCCTGCATCTGTTATTTTAGTGGGTTCTAATTAAAAGGTGTGAAGTTTGAGAACACGAGAAGCCAAAAAGGGATTTTTGTTGCTTGGTTAGGTTCAGCAAAATTAAATTTGCAGAAGGCTTTTTTATTTTTGCATTTAAATGAAAGCGGGCTGCAGTGAAGAAAGAGACGACTGACTGAGTCGACGATAACGAGGCAGAACTGGAGCCGTTAACGAAAGATAACAAGGTTTTGTGTCAAACATTAATGGATCTTTGGCTTATATGACTGTATGGTCATAGCAACTATCCTACAATCGGGGTAAAGTAACAATTGTTGTCTTTTTTTCACACATCAGAGTTGCACAACTAGGAGGATGAACTAATCTAAAACAGCGGAGATGCAATAAACTCTACTTTTGTGAGTTGTGTGTAAGGAACGGTGCAGATCGGACGTGTTGTCCAGTGTGATTACATCACTGTTTCATTCAGTGCCTTTTTGACTCAAAACTTCGAATTGTATGCATCTTGTAAGTTTGTTGCGTGGCTGTTGAGGCAGATTGCATCATTGTGTTCAAGTGTACGTCCACCTTCTGTACAGTTCATGACAAACTGAGCAACATGTGAGTCACCTCGTCCAACCAGCTTAAAACAGGAGTTAAAGATTGTTGCTGAAATACAAGAAAAAACCACATGAACCTTTGCACACCTTCAAAGCATAAGACACATGCATCTTAGGTTGGTTTTATATATTTACCACAGGGTGTCTTCTCTGAAAAAAAAGAGTCAGGAAGTGAAAGCAGGTGTACACAACAACAAAAGCAGCAGCAGTGGCTCAGTTCGTGTCGCGCTCAACTCTGCTGCACTTCTGTCTGTGCCCAGTCAGATGTAACTCCAGTCAGGTTGCTTTTTAAAGCTCAGCCAGTTCCGGTTGCACGGCTTTATTAAAACCCCATCAGGATAGCGTGTGTGTCAACAGATCGAGGGTGTCGCTGACCGTAACATTAGCAGTTTACTTTTTTTTATACCTGGGTTACAGTCATAGACGGGGTGGTGCATAACTTGCCTGACAAGTTTACCGGGGGCCAGTTGTGGTGTTGCTTGTCTGCAATCACTGAGATTACATCTACATAGAGGAAATAGTCAGGATGTTTTGGCTAAGACTGAGCATTCCAACCATGGGAAAAACATTGCTTGATTTCTCTCATTTTTTTGCATTACCTTAGAAAACCCATTCATTCATGCACATGTTCCCATCTCCTAGAAAGGGCCATCTTTTCACTCAAACCAGATAGTTGTGTAGAACTCAACACTCTTAAGCTTATAATCCCTGCACCCATTCACCATTTGTTCCGTGCGCCACCACTTCCTCTTTCTTTCATCACGGATGTTTTTTTTTTGTCTGCGAGACGATAGCAGATCCCTTTAGTCAACCGCCTGCAGAGAATACCCTTACCCTTCGTCTTCCCTCCTCAAACTCCTCTCCATCTCCTTCCTCGTCTGTTTTGTTCTCCTGATTTACAGTGGAACTGAAGTCGAGGGGGCAGCGGATAAATTGGCGCAGGAGTCTTTCTGAGATGGAAGAGAGGAGCGAGTGATGAAGGGGAGGAACGGGACCTTGCTCGCCCGAGTCATTAACGTGTATAATGAGACGGGTGAATGGCTGTCACTCAGCCTAATTGGTCACCTTGATGGGAGCTCACGTCCAATTTTCTGCGGAACTGCAAGCAGCTATCATGAGAGGAAAAAGGGCAAAGCTTCTTCTTTTCACAGGAAAAGAATAGAAAACTGTGTCATGTCAACACACTTATGTATATATACAGTGTATACTCTGCACAAAAAGTAAGGAAATTTGTTTGGGTAGATTATTTCTTTGTCGTAACATTAGTTCTTGGCTATAAATCTTGTGATTGGCAGCAACTCATGGTACCAGAAGCTCAAAACAAGAGTCAGTAACAATAACAGAATTAGCTGTTTGGCAGAGAACATTTGGCTTTTTTTTCATATATGCAACCCACATACTCAGGTCTACTGCTCATCCCACAAGTGCATGTTCCTTACAAATGTGGCACCATTTAAAAGGGAAATTAACGGGCTTTTCAACATTATAAGATTTATTGCCCAAAAGCATTGTTACAACAAGGAAGTAACCTACCAAACACATTTCTGTACTTTTTTCTGCTAAGTTTTTTCTTCTGTATATAGTTCAGGCTGTGCTGCACAAAATACTTAATATTCAATGTTGCCTAAGTGTTAATGTATGTAATAAGTTATTATTTTCAAGAGTTATGCATTCATGCTCTACATGTCAATAATATCCCTGGCCAATCAGAAGGACTCTCCCTGCCCATGATGTCCACCTCTGATTTAACAGACAGTGGTAGAAAACGGTGTTATCATAACAAAAACAGAAGCAAAGAGTGATAAAAATGTGAGTTTATCACAAATGATATTGTAATTGTCATTTTCAACAATAATATTGCATTTACATGTTTACCATCGTGCAGCCTTGCTTTGTCTGTGGTCTTTGGTTGACATAAACTGCAAAGCGTCTCCTAAAATTTAGATATGTTTTTTGTTATTCTGAAAAAGCTCACGAAATCTTTCCGTTCATCCTTTGCCATATGAATAATGCACACATCATTTTCTGTGTATTTCTGAGAAGCCCTATTTTTAAAAATATGTGGCTTCTTTTCCCTTCTTGAGCCTTCAATTACATACAGAAATGAGAAAAACTGAAGTACTTCTGCTGAATTGTGGACTGTATGGACATCCATTAGTCCACCATGTTACCACTGTTTGTGGCCACCGCGGTCAGAGTTCAGCAGAAGTCCCACAGTCCCACTTAAAGGTCAGATATGACTGCTTATGTGCTCAAGCTTGCACCCGTTTTGCTAAGATTTGTTTCCAGAGGATCCTGTTTGCTGCTGCACTAAATCAACTCAGAATGAAGAAGTCCGCTTCTCTAAGAGGAAACGATCTATCCTGGCAGCACTTTCTTTGGCATTCAAAACAACACAATGTACTCTCTTCCCTCCGTGTGTCAGTAACAGTGCAAATAAATTAAAAAGAAAAATAAGGAAGTGGACCAGTTCCACTTTTACCAACAGTTCCAAACGTTTGTATCGTTCGTTAGATCAAAATTAGAGTCGAACTGCTTCAGGACGCTGTGGTTGGACAAAAACAGATTTGTTTAGCTATTTTTACATACATAGATGTATTTATTTTATTTCTTTTTTTAACAGAGTGAGCAGTAAGATGAGTGGCAGTAGCGTGGAGCTGAACTGCTGCAGACAACAAGGCTCAGTAGAAAGTCATACATCGTCCCTACAGAGCCTGGGCAGCACCAGCCTACCGACGGCCTCCACCGACAACCTGGCAGCTGACTTCGGTAGGTCCCCCTCAACAACACAACATATCCAGTTAGAAAGGAGTTTACTCCAAGACAACATGCATGTTAAATCCAGAGCATCATCTAATGTGTAGGCATTGTCATTTTCTTTTCCCACATTTTACTCAAAATAATAGAAATCCTGCAAGGTTAGAGCTGCAAGCTTATCTCTCCTCTTTCCTACTCGTGTTTTGTTATGACTCCCGAAGTCTCCGATCTGGAGACATGCCTCGGTGTGAACGACATCTGTCCTTGGGGTATCGTTTTTAAACTTCAGTGGCGCTCAGACGCTTGTAATTGCTGCAACTTCCTGGGCAATGTTGTTTGAAGAGATAATTATGGACTCTGATAATAAGGGAAAAAGGGCTTGGCTACATCCCTTTTTTCCCTTCAGAGTCTTCTTACTGTGAAAGTAGTTATTGAAGACTGCAGCACACAATTATCTCAGTGTATGTCTCGTTAATTGTAAAGTCGAGTTCCATCTTTAAGGCTTAAATTGAAAAAATGGATCTTAATTGGTTGGAAGATGTTTTGAGTGCCGGTTTGAACTCAGGAGTGTGGAAATTTCCAACTTTTTGGGGAAACAAGGTTTCACATTATGACCGAGCAAAGACAGAAGGAGTGTAGGGGAAATTTAATTTGGTGAGAACTTACAATTTTAGAAATTTTTACTTGCAATGATTCAGAAAAAAAAAAGAATAAATAAAATAAAATCTTGCAGTTTTTGATTCAAACTTGCGTCCGAAACAATGCAAACTAAGATGCTTTTTCTTCCTTTTTAGGTTCTCGGGATGCAGCGCGGATGTCTTGTTCTTCACCTTTTTCCAGAACTCCCATTGGATCAGCTCCTGGTTCCCCTCTCCCACCCTCTCTCAACAGTTTGGGGAACCAACCGCCTCCTCTTCCAGAGAAGAAGATGGTCAACCGCACGGTGTCGGCTCCGGAAAATGCAAACGGAAAACCCTTTGTCCGGGCCTACCCGCGCCTCCCGTTTGCCGCCTCCGAAAGCAACGTGTGTCGCTCGGCCGAGACCAGCTCCCGCACCAGTTTACCGCCCAGCCCCGTCGACCCGCGGCCCGTTTTCTCCTCCAACGAGTCCCTGGAGCGCTGTCACACCCCACTGGGCCGACCCTCCAGGTCTCGGACGCTGGACGAGCCGCTCAAGACTCCTCAAAGCCGTCTCGGCGTGCACTGCCGAACCAGCATCACCGTCGCCTCTTCGCCTCAGCTCAGCGCCCCCTTCTCTGCCTCGGAGCCGGGGTCGGCGCCGAATCTGGGCTCCAGCCTGCAGCTCCAAACCCTCCTCAGTAACATTGACAGTAGAGAAGGGGTATACTCCAAACTGGGCGGCCTGTACGCCGAGTCCCTGAGACGCTTGGCTTTGAAATGCGAGGACCACTTCACCCGCTCCCAGAAGAATTCCCTGAGGTTTGACGAGAGCAACTGGTCTCTGTTCAGGCTCACGTCCAACAAGCCCAGCTGCAACGCAGGAGATGCTGTTTACTACTCTGCTGCCTGCGCCTTGGACCCCAGCAACTCCTACGCTGTGAAGGTAATCTCCTAATACTGAGCATTAATTAGAAGTAAATATTGAATTAATTGCTTCTCAAGTGACAGGTGTATAAGTGGTGTTTTTTTACAGTGCAACCAAACTTTTAATGAAATGAAGAGATCTCAAAGAAAACAGTGGATCGGTTTATTTTTGTTAAAATAGTCCAGAATATAATCTCCAACAGCACTGCTTATGTTTTTTAAGCAGTTGTGATTTTGGGAATGGATTTCTGTGAAAAGGTTAGGAATAAATATATTTTTCTCATTTTTTTGTCTCAAATTTTAGAATATCTTATGTAAAAATATATATATTTTACAACTCTCTACTACCATCAGCTTCACATTACACTGATTTTATCCACCAAAGTGCTACAGCTAGCTGCTTCTAGCCATTTTTTTGTTTGTTTGCACATCCCTATAAAAATCTATGTAGCTATATAATGTAAAATTGATGGCAGCATGAAGTTTTACAAACAACTTTCACATGAAATCCTTTCATATCTTTGTGCTCAAAGTTGTTTTAAAATGGCAGCAATCTGTTTTGGTCTTGGCCTAGCTTCAACAAGCCGTTAGCTTGTCAAAACATTCAGGAAGAGGCTTTATTACTCCAAACTGAGGTTGTTCTAAAAGCTATCCACAGCAGGTAAGATATTGACTGTTAATAATTTTTTAACCTATGAGTGCTGCTTTAAAATGTTAAACACACTATTGGATGCATGTTAGGACAGTGAATATTAAACTATAAGCAGGAAATTGAAAAATTCCAGATCGATGACTTGAGTCTATTTTAATACACATATATGTCTGTTTATATGATTGATGACTTCAGTAGCTCAGAGGTCATTCAGTGTTAAAAACTATTAATTAATCGTTAAATTTTGAATAAGTTCAAAAACAACTGTAGTTTTCCTAAAGCTTTGCCAGTTTAAAGACAAAAGTGAAATGGATAAAGGGCATCTTGTTTGTTCCTGGGCTGCAGATGGGATGGTCCCACTGCAGCACCAGCTTTCAGGGTGCGCAGTGTAAACAAGCCGTCCACACGGAGGGCGTGGATTCAGTCGCACTGATCTTTGTGCTCCAGTCATTATTGCATCTACAAAGGCTTGGCTGTTTGGACCGTGTTTGTGTTACGACACAGACTGTTGCTTAATATTTCCAGACCCGATTAATCTTGACATTCCAGGAAGGATTTACAGCCGGACCAACCTCTGTTGTCAAGGCCGACACACACATAGACGCACACACATACACAAACACTGCAGTCTGAGGGTATCCTTCACAAATGATAATGAGACATGATCTGCCGTCAGTATTGGCTGGTATTACTAATTTTATTGATTTCTTTTTTCCAGTCAAGCTTCAAGGGCTTTTCGACTCAAATTAGGCTTTAATCTTGTTAATCCGATAGAAGTGAATGAAAGTCAAATCACAACGTACAATGACAACATTTGTGACCCTTCATATCAAAATGAGGATTAAGTCAAATTTGTTCAAAATGACCTAATTACATTTTCAGATTCTTGGCTTTAAAAGCTACATTTTGATACCTGGATCATTCTGATATAATTAAATCCATATATATGACTTAATTTGTCTTGTTGGTTACAATAATACATAAATATTTGGTCTGAAACCTAATTTTATGTCCTTTTAATGAGGAATTTTTGATGTTCTTATAAAGAGGAAACCTCAAATTATATTTGAATATTGATATTTCCCAGCTAAAAATAAACAAAACTTTGCTAGCTCACAGGGAAAACCTCAAAATTTAAGGCGCTTTTCCTCAAAATCATTTTTTTGTTGTTGCTGCTGCTCAAAAAAGTGCTTCAAAATTTTGTTTTATAATTATATTTCAGGCAGTTCATTGAAATGATACATTGATAAGGCTTTTATTCATTATATTTTGAAAAAAATGCAATTTTTGTTAACATTTTAGTCAAAACACTATATTTGCCTATTTCTCCTTATACCACTTTTGGACTTAATCCTCGTTTCGATGTGTTGGGTCACATTTTGGGTGTGTTTGAATGACAGATATAAAAGGGGTGTGGTTAATCCACGCTTACTGTATTTATTCATGTATAATACTAGAAAATTAACCCTAAAATCATCCATAAAGTGTGTGTGTGTGTGTGTGTGTGTGTGTGTGGGGGGGGGGGGTGTTAGATTTTTAATGCTTTTTAAGCTCAAAAAATGATGATGATATACATGAATAAATACGGTAATTCAGAGATTGAATGAAAGGCCTCACATTCATTGAAGTAATGCTTCCTGTCATGTCAGTTTTAAACTCCAGTTAGGGGGATTCGTCCATTATCTTGAATAAACTGACTTGTCTCCTTCTGTCCATCGTCTGCTTTCTTCTCTAGATCTGTAAGAGTCCGTCCGTTGAGTCCAAGCAGGGTCATGTGTACGGCCTGTCAGTGCAGCAGAGTATCCCTCCTCACTTTAATCTCCAGCAGGACTGTGGTCACTTCCTGGCCTGCGTTCCTCAGAGCATGCTCCCTTCAGACGAAGCCTCTCTGCCCTCTGCTTCACCCGCATCTGTCCAGCAGGTGGACCAGGAGAGGGTGGTGGTCATCACTCCCGAGATCCCTCGCCAGACCGCCGCCGACTTTGTCCGGGAGTGGGAGCCGGTCCACGAGACTCAGCCGGAGGTGTACGAGCGCCGCGTGTGCTTCCTCCTGCTGCAGCTCTGCGACGGCCTGCAGCACCTGAAGGAGCACGGGGTCACGCACCGCGACCTGTGCCTCGAGAACCTGCTGCTGGTGCCTCACCGGCAGAGGCTCCGGCAGCAGAGCAGCGCTGAGGGCGGCGCCGCCTCCGCGGACGCCCAGCGCCACCTCCCCCGCCTCCTCGTCAGCAACTTCGCCAAGGCCAAGCGGCGCTCCCCGGAGGACACCGCATCGACGAGCGGTGACCCCCGGGTCAAGCGCGACCACGCCAGGCTGGCGCCCGAGATCGTCTCGGCGGCCCAGTACCGCAAGTTCGACGAGTTCCAGACGGGCATCTTGATCTACGAGCTGCTCCACCAGCCCAACCCGTTCGAGGTGAGCCCGGCGCTGAGGGAACAGGACTACCACTCCGAGGACCTGCCCCCGGTCCCCTCCCTCTCCCTTTACTCCTCGGGCCTCCAGAAGCTCGCCCGGCTCCTCCTCCAGCCCGACCCCATCAAACGCATCCACATCCAGGAGGCCAAGCGCATACTGCAGAGTCTGCTTTGGGGCCCCCGGAGGGAGCTGATGGACCAGCAGCGGGAGAGACACGGGAAAGGAGGAGGCCTCGCGGACAGCTCGCGAAACGAGAGCCTCCTCAACTGGCTGGACGTGAAACGAGCCCTGCTGATGATGAAGTTCGCCGAGCGCTCGCTGGAGCCGGAGAGGAACGCCGAGCTGGAGGACTGGCTGTGCTGTCAGTACTTCTCATCAGCTCACCCTCTGTCTCTCTGCCACACCGCAGAACTGCTCTACGCACTGAAGTGACTGTGAGGCTTCAAAATAATGTGTGCAAACTCACGAGTGTGTGTGTGTGTGTACGTGCACCCGCTTTGGATGTTATCATCCATTAAATGGACGTTATTAGCCGTTATCAGTCCRATWGAATGGCTTCAGACTGTCAGCTGGTTAATATGAGGCATAAAACCACTAAGGTTAATTTTAGAGAAAATGACATGGGCTACGATAAAATAGACCGGACTCCGGCGGTAGCAGATTGTTGCATTCCAACGTATATGGCACTGGTAACCCTCTAGGGGGCACTGTCGGGACAGTCTGAAGCCATTCAATGGGACTGATAACCACTAATAACGTCCATTTAATGGACTGATTACATCCGAACCGGCTGGTGTGTGTTGGTTATTTTCAAAGTGATGTTCTGTCCAAGAAATATAGTTAGTATCTTATCGCCCATGACATCAGTCATAGAGCATGGTGTACGGAGAAAAGGGCCAAACAAGAACCTATTTCATGTTGTTTTTAAGACTAATGATTCGACAAAACATCACTTCAAAAATAACCAGACCATCCTTTTAATGTTTTGACACTCTGGGCCGGTCCAGATGCTGCGATCCTCTGGAGGAACTGTGAAACCTGCTGTTGTTATTTCTGCATGCATGAGAGCCATTCATCCATCAAACCATCCATCCAGTCTTTCACACAAACAGGATCCCCTTTTTGGACAGGAAAAATACGATAAAGGAAAAAAATTGCAATAAATTGAAACAAAATCATAAAACTCACATATAAGAACTGTTTTGTAGCAGCGACACTGAGGGGAAAAAATGTAATACACTTACCAAAGTTTATTGTTTTACACTGTATTTTGTGACACTGAGGAAGCCTAATGACATTATTCCACCCAGTAATGCTTTGTTTAAACGTGCTGCTAACTCTGTCCAACTAACTGAGAATACATCTGTAGACCTGAGCTGTTGCATCTTTTCTCTCATATGTTGAGTCATAAGCACATACTGTGAAAGCAACCCAAATTTGTTTGTATTGTTTTTTATCTTCAGCCAAATTTGGAGAATGTCTTTTTTTCGTTGGTTTCAATTCACTGGCCGAAACGATCAAAGCGGTTCAGATTTTTATTTTTAAAAAAGGCATTTTAAAGTGTTTTCCCCTGATCTGCCATTTTTAACCGTGTCGCCATTTGTCGCAGTGCCTTTTGTTCTTTGTATTGCGTTACATTGACTCAAAGTGTAAATACGTCGGATCATTGTGTCCTTTTGTGAAACTGGCCTTTCACACAATGTTTCAGTAAAATTTTGTTTTTCTTGTACAGCGATTTTTGTAGATGATAATCACAAACATGAGCCCAAGCAGGTCTTTTAAGAACAAAAACAAAAACAAAAAAAAAAACTAAAAAAAAGCCATGAATATGAGCTTCAGTTATTTATGAGGTTGTTTGTTTTCTTGTAGTTGTCACTGGACTTTCTTTTCTTTCATTCTTTTTTTAAGTCTCAAACAAAAACATGTCCAACTAAATGTGTTTGTTCATGACATTTTCTAACGATTGAGAGAAGAAAACCATGGTCTGAACTAAAGAGTAACCAATTTTAAACTATTTTTTGTGCCTCTTTTTATTTATGTCTACCAATAAACTGTGCATATATTTTGTCACGGTAAAATGTGGTGGCTGTTTGTTTTTTCTTTGTCCGGTAACGAGAATCATTATTAACTGATGGGTTTATGATGTAAAGTTTCATTAAAATCTGTCTGGTAATTATGAGATATTTTACTAACAGGCACAGTGTTGACTAATACTTAAAAGCAAAGCTTTAAGCAAGGATCTTATGTGATATGTAAACAATAAAAGTCTAATTTAAAGATGACTCTTAGCTGTTATCCAACTAAATTTTAGTTCAATATTTTTAAAATTAACTGATTTATAGTCAATTTTGCATTTGCTAAAAATGTTTAGTTCTAACTGCTGGTTTGTGAAATATAACAGACACAAAAATGGACCTTTCAGGTTCTGGCAGCAGGTTGAGTTTTGTTCAAATAAATTGCTTTATTTAATAAATATGTTGCCTTCAGGCCCAGGCTCCTCTTGCAAAAGAGATCTGTGATCTCAATGGGATTTGTTTGGTTAAATTAAATAAAGGTTAATAAATAAATAATTCAAATGTTCACTTCACTTAACCATAAAACAAGAATCAGAAACTGTCTGTAAAAGTAAGAAGTATTTTAAAACTAAAAATATAAAGTGAATTTGAACATTTAATATGTTTTTGCACTTTAGAATCAAAAAGACTGCTTCCATGTTAACATGAAAACCTATATAGTTTATACCCAATTTAATCTAACTTCTTTGTATATATTATTTTTTATATATATATTGAACTCACTATACTGTATTTCTTTTCAGCAACTTGTGCTAAAGGCATTCCAAAAATTCCTGTTTTTGACAAAAAAAAAATATAAATAAATAAAATCATTGTAAGGCTGGAAATTGGATTATTGGGAGTGGTCAACAAACCACTAACATGATGTAATCCAGGGGTTCTCAAGCCATTTGGGTCTGGGGACCCCCTGACAAGGGTGAAAAAATTCCAGGGACCCCCTTATGCTGTTTTAAAAGATAATTTATTGTCATTATAACCCCTAAATGCCATGGGATTATTGAAATTTAGTGAAATGTTTCGAGGACCCCCGCCCCAAGATCGCACCCCTGGTGGTCCTGGGACCCCATGCAAACAAACTGACACAAAAACTGCTAAAGTTAGCCTTTTCTGTTGTGGGTGTAAAAAACAACAACAACAACAAAAATATATTGTTAGTTTTGGTGAAAGCTTCAAAGAGCTGCAGGTTGCTGAACCTGAACCAGGTTGAGGAGCATACCTGCCAACATCAAGTCTATATAAGCTGACACTGGGACTACACCAGACACTTGAATAAAATGAAAACTTGTCAAGCATTTACATTGTTCAGATCATCCATTTTTCTTACAAACCAGTATGCCTTTTTGGCCCGCAGTTTTGTGTTATTTCAACACCTCACATTTCAAAACCTTCAGCTCCTTCAGGACACTCAGACTATGACTTTTCAGATTTTTCAGCTATTTATATTTGTTGACCATTTTTTTCTCAGTGAAAATGATTAGAGCTCCCTTCAACATCATTCAAACCCTTTGAAATGTTCATAAACCTGCACTTTTTTCTCTGGTTCAGCTTCTTTGTGCTAATTTCAGCCTTCTTCGGCTTCTTGTTTTTGCAAATTTTAGCATTTTTTTCCTGCTATTTCAGCTGTCATTCAGCTCCTTCTGCGAACTGAACTTTTTGCGCTTTGTTCTGCTTTTTTATGCTAATTAAAGCTGTTTTTTTTATTTTAAGCTACTTTTTTAGCTGATTTCAGCTAATTTTAATTTTTTTTAATTAAATTCATCCATTATGATAAATTCAGCTTCTTACTACTCAACAAACGAGCTCTTTCTGCTTCTTTTGTGCTGATTTCAGCTTGTTCAGCTATTTTTTTAGCTATGTTCAGCTGGTTTAGTTTTTTAGGCGTTTTTATCTCAAATTGCAACTTTTTAACTCTCCTTACCATCTGTCTGCTAAATCCATCGTTTCTGCTATTTTTAGCTACATTTTCTGCTCTGTTCAGCTGTCTTCATACGCTTCTATTAATTTAGTTTTCACGTATTTTAATTTTTCCTACTTTCAGCAGAGGGCAGCTCTTCAAATTGCTCTCAGTTTTGCTTTTAAATATGTTTAGCTTCATCTGCACTTTTCAGCAAAAGTCTTTCAGGAAATGTTAATTCTCCAGTTAGTAAAAGCAACGATGATCACCACAGGTAAATAAATGACAGAAAATGAATTTCACATTTATTCTCTTCATAATAAACACTTCATGCTGATGACAGATTTCATTTACAAGCAAAAGCTAATGAATTGAGTGTAAACTAAGAACCTCAGAAATTAGTGGAAATGTTTGCGTCTGTGAAAGTCAAAGCCCCACCAGCACCACCACCACCAGCACCACCAGCACCACCAGCACCACCAGCACCCCACCCACACAACAGGTTGGTCATGTCATGGAATCTCAATTCAGAGTTTAGAAGCCTCAGGCCAAAACACAGTCTCCCACCCCAATCCCTCCCCCCACACGCTGGTGCTCCTGAAACC